TATATGAAAACGCAACAAAAAGAATAGCATGAAGCACATACTAAATTCCATTGTTTCAATTACAAGGTCATGTTGCAATCATGAATATATCACCATAAATGGAAGAAAGAGAATATAGCAGAAAGATATTTTGTTAGTGGAAAGATAGCAAAACAATAATATTTAGCCCTATGATAAACCGATTCACGAACTAAAATATATAGGGCCTAGGCATATTAAATTTTTCGTTTTCGCAACTCCTTCGGCGCTCCATATATTTGTTCGAAATATACCGCGACCGAAACGAAGCGCGACCGTAATGATCGGCTACCGACGAAACAACTCTAAAACAAACAAGTGATATGAAAATCAACGTGAGGATTCGTGGGGAATGGCTGTTAATTCCTTGTCGGAATAACAAAAATAATACGATCGAATGGCTATGTCAGGAAGCACTGCGTAGATACATCAAGCAGTGTGATTACTCGGGAGATGATGACCACGTTGTTGAAATGCGGAAGACTCAAGGAGGAAGCCTTCTCTTCCCATACGATGCAATTGAGGATGTCTTAGATGAAAACGATTTTGTTTATGCCGGTAAATATCAAGTTTTTTTTTCAATAATGTCATCTGGTGTAGGTCCATCAAAATAGGCTTAGGCCTGGCATAATTGTTTTGAGGAATTTTAAGATCACGCGTTTCAATCATTTGGCTAGAAGCAAGATATTAAATATCTTTGGTAGACACACATTACAGAATACACCAGTCATTATTATGTTTCAAACCATCATATTGTACATTTACACATACTTCCAGGTAGGACTATCGTTTAGAAAACTTACAAACTATAGGCCTAAAGCGACTCCCAAAACAAAACAGAATCCGCAACTTAATATTTGATATGTGAACATTACAAGCTCTTTAAAAATGTAACTAACAAATAACGAAAATCCAGCTGTCTTCTCAAGTCGCTACCAAATAAAATATAGTGCTAAGCTATATGAACGAACACAAAAAAGAGAATACATTTTAATTGGATATTTCACCTTGGTAATGCCATGGTAATGCATACTCTATTTATAATTGTATTATTTATATTATTCATTCCACACCGAACAGCATAAACACCAATAACAGGGAGCATACAGTAAATACAATATAAAATCACTATAAAAACGGTAACAATGTCACTGTAAAAACATTAAAAAGTATTAAATAAAAGTATAAAAAAGTACCATTTCATGATAAAACTATCTACAACCAGGGACATTAATCTGACAGTCTAGCAGTGTCCTTAATTAGCTTTCACATGACTTATATGTAAGCAAGACAAAAACAGATTATAGCCAATTCCTTAAACTGCACCTGTGAGATCATATACAGTAATATCATTTATTTCACCAACAATAAACACCTTGCAAAGAAGAACTCTACAATAAAAGCATCAGAAAACACGTTACACAAAAGACTGTTACGTGGCAATTGCACAGAAGTAACAGGAACCTTCTCACTGTCAAGGGGCTATCCACATAAAGCCTCGATGCAACACAAAGTAATAAAATAAAAATAAAATGATAATAAAATAACAATATAATTATTGTCATTGTCATTACCAGGACCATCATCAATATAATCATAACATAGGCTATAATAATCTAGAATTTGTGTGTAAGAATATATATCATTTTGTTTTTAAAATACTGTACTTTTTTTAATTGTGTGATAAAATCTCTAAATCATCTTGTGTTTCACCGCATAACATCCCACAATACAATCTGGGATAATAATTAAGGAGAATTTATAGGGGTCAGTTCCGTGCAAAATTGTGCTTAAAACGAAATGTGAAAGACAATTTATACCTGATTTTAGCGAAGCTGCTGCGCCACATAATAAGGAAGGTTTCAAGAATTACTCTATGGCCTAGATTTCTTCCTCACAATTATCATGTCTACCATGTTGCAAAACTCTATTAAAGCTTAAGCCTACTTCATTTCTCTAAAGCAAAAACCATCTCGTGAAGTACATCCACTCAAAATTAAAATATTTATAATTCTAATTTATTACAAACAAAATAGGATAATAATAATTAAAATGATATCCCAGATATGGTTAAAAATTTAAACCATTATCCGAACCCAGACATGTTTTAGCAGCAACAGTATGCCTCTAGTACAAATATCACAATTCTGTCTAGTTTCATATAGATTCAAAATGTTTGTAATCCAGCGTTTATCTCTGTCCTTTATTCAAGGACATTTTGGTTGGATTTAAATGCAATCACATTTTATTGTTTTATACAGTGCTTCAGAGTGACCTGAAAAAAATTGTTAAAGTGGAGGAAACCATCATGAGTGGGTAAGAAACATATGTTAATTAGTGACCATATAAGCATAAGATCTCTTGGAAGGGCTGTGATTGATACATTTATAAATACATTTTCCTATCAGGGCCGAATCCAGGGGCACAACATAGGGCCTATTCAGAATAGATAAGTAAGAGCGCTAATTTCAATATATGCTTTGAAATTTTAAAATTTATTGGCAAAACAGAGGGAATGTGCCCCCCCCCCCTTACTGGATCTGCCCCTGCCTATGTTTGAGCACTGTTTACAAATGTGTGTATACGTGTTCATTTCAAATAGAGTGGCCCCATTTATGAAATAATATATAGTCATGATATGGTCATAATGTGATGTCATCATGACCATATTTGGGCATGCCACAAGACTTTCGTCAAATAAAATTTGATAGTGTGGACAGGGCTTAACAAATTGAATTTCTGCGTACTCATAAAATTTAAAGTAAACTTACCTGCAACACATAACGGACACATACGGATAATACGTGTCCTTAATCTGCCTAATTGTCAATATGTTATTCGAGGAGCCAAGCTATCAGACTCCAATGGACCTTTCCGCTAAGCCCCGCCCCTTGGATATTGTTGCTAAGGTCCTACAAGACGACAGTGTTAAAACATACGCGAACACGTGCATTTGCGGGACAACACGTGTGTTTGTGAGACGCGCGCGCATTCCTAGCGCTGTTCCGATTAGTTAGTTGATAAGTTTGATTGACATTCCGGAAAGGTCTATTTAAACTCAAAACTGGCTGAGTCTAAACTGGAGTCTAAGGCATAAGAAGCAGAAACAATACCTCCCAGCAACCGCTCAGTTCATGAAATTTTCCTAAAACACTCCGTCTAGCTGATGCTTGATTACTTTTATAAGAATCATTTTCAAATCATTGAGCAACAGTACAGTGTTTTTTTTGGGGGGGGGAGTGGGGAATATAGTTTTCCCAATGTGAAAAATGGACACATTTTAATCACCTTTTTTTAAAAAGTATAAACTTCAAATATATTTTAACAAATTTGCTCAGATTGGCCTTTTCATTTTCGTCCACTACATGTTTGTAATATACTTTTCCAAAAACAAAGTTGATAACTTTTCTTTTACCTTTGTCATTTTGTGTAGCAGTATGCAACCAATGATCAAAGGTGATACAATGTCAATTTACATTCATTATACTTTTTAAAAAATTGTATTTCCAAAGGGAACTGCAGCTAAATGTGATAAGATCCCATGCCTCTGGTGTTGGGAAGCCATTACCACTTGAACATGTACGGAAGTTGTTGGCTCTAAGGATTAACGTTCTTGCCAAGGGACATAGTGGAATATCTCCATTTGTTCTCCAACAGATTATACAGGCATTTAATGGTAAGAACACTTGGTTCTTTCATACATAAAATTCTACTAATTTATTTATAATTTATATTTGTTTTATTTATATAGACTTGCCTTTCCCTTTTTAGATAGAGTGCGACGTGCTTTTGTTGCACGTCCACATACTTAGGTTTGCTGCTGTAATCAGTGCAGGAGCAAGGTACTCCACCAGGGACCCATTTATTCTCCCGGGAAGAGAGATGCAAGGCAGTTGCTGTATAAAGTGCCTAGCTTTCTCATGGATTAAAAGGCTAACCTCTGGTTTAGGAAACCAAACCGTTCCCTCTGTACCTAAACACTTCTACATTTAATTAGTACGGTATATTATGTACAAACTCACAAGAAATTGTTGAGGACCGCAAACTTTCCGGTCTTAGCTCTTTGGCCAGTTAAAGAATATTTGAACAAGGGATTAAAATCATATCACCCTTAAAACTTTCCAGCACAATTGTACTGTATTTTATGTGAAATAGCGTTGGATTGGGTGTATTGGAATTACCTTGAACATAATTTCACCTTTAAACAAACTTATTGTGATGAGAAATGATTTTCTTTTTTCAGCCAACTGCTTGCCATGGGTACCTGAGAAAGGGACTGTTGGTGCTAGCGGCGACTTAGCGCCCCTTGCTCACCTTGCTCTTGGCATGATAGGGGAAGGGAAAATGTGGAGTCCAAAAAGTGGCTGGGCAGATTCTCGATATGTAAGTACTGTAAAACTATATGGAAGTTAAATACCGGTAGATGAAGTGAGTTTTAAGCACTTTTGCCAAGCCTTATAAATACTGAATTACCTAATGTGCTTGTAAAAAAACGTCATTATAGATACTGTTTTAACGTTTCTCTTTTACTGTAGGTGCTAGAGGCCCACGGACTAAAGCCAGTATCTTTGAGAGAAAAGGAGGTAGTATTCTTTATACAAATCATATTCACCTAATCACATGCACTTTTCAATTAAAAAAGTATATATGAATATAATTATATAGACATAACTTCATTGCAATCATTTTGGAAGTCTGACGTACGGAAAAAAGCATGGTATTAAAAAGCAATTTTATTACGCCTAATTATATAAAGTAATAAATTTCCATGCTGTTCTATCCTACGGGAATTGTATCCAGACTCTCAGGATGAAATGAGGTCATGGATACCTCACAGGCATGCTAAGTAAATTCTTTGTAGAACAGCTCACTCTCTGTATGCCTGTAGTGTCCCTATTTATTTTTATTATTATACAAGATTTAATCCTTTCCATTTAAGAATACAGTTTTCGCACTTTTTAAGTATTCAAGAACATGTTGAGTATTCTGTATAACACGTCAGTGCAAAACATCCCTCCTACCGTACATTCTCACAAATAAGGTGACCCGCATATAAGACGACCTTCGAGTTTGAGAAGATTTTGATAATTTTTGTATGTCGGGCGTATATAAGACGACCCATCTTTTTCACTGTCAGGAGTTCCTACTTTCTTTACTGTATCAAAATCTTATTTCCCCGCATTAAAAATTCATTCATAACAACGGTTAGTAGCAACAAACCGCACATAAGACGAATATGATTTAAAAATTAAAAACATTGTATGTGATGCGTGTATAAGATGACCACCTGTTTTTTTTTTTTTATTGTTGCTATTTTAAAGCCTGGTCTATACGGTATTATATAGACAGAATTGGATTGGATTGGATTTATTCGGTGTAAACACCAAGGATAGCCCACGAAAGTCTAGAAGAAGACTTATTCCCAGTGGGGTAATTCTGGTGGTGATTGGACAGTACACCGGGAGACAATCCACTACTCTTTTCCGAAGAGTGTACTGCGTTCTTTAACGTACACATGGGCCATAATGCACATGGGACCAACAGCTTAAACGTCTCATCCAAAAGACGGTGCGCTATTGTAACTTGTATTTCAGCCCTCTAGCTGAACACAAGGAGAGGCAGGCGATGGGAATTAAGAGTAGATTTATTATATCATATCATTCATTTTGCTTCAAAATATTATGATAAAAACATTTCTCATTAAATTATATACAGTAGTAAAAATGTGATTTTTTAAAGAATAAAAATTTACATAGAGGTAAAAGAAAGGTCTGTAAAATATCTTTTAATGCTTTGCTTAAAACTGTTCAGGCTAGTTAAAAGTTGGTTGCAGAGATTCGCAGGCAGTTCTCTAAAATGTTTGGCAAAGAAGTTAAAGACAGAATTATGCAAACAATTAGTACTGTCTCTTATACACATCTAGATGTGTATAAGAGACAGCCCTAATAATGTGGTCTAAAAGCACATTTTGGACCATACTGGGCCATGACACCTTCCCCTGTCTCTTATACACATCTAGATGTGTATAAGAGACAGGTTCAGCGCACACACAAAGCGGCTACCACCAGATTAGCCGACTGAGCTAAGCTGCTCATATTTAGTGGGGTCACAGGTTGCATATTAAAAAGAATTTTTTTTTTTTGTCGTTCTTAACTCAGTTAAATCTATTCTTTTGTGTTTCTTACAGGGTGTGGCATTAATAAATGGTACACAGTTAATTACTTCCATTGGTTGTGAAGGTAAAACAAAAAAATATAAATTTAGGATGTATTTTCTGATTGAAAATTGATAATTCTTTGGTTTTTAAATTAGCAATTTTCAATATTTTTATCGAGTAATGTCAGGTTTTTATTTTTAAAATAATATTATAGACAGTATAGCTTTATAGCGATTTAAAAAATGTTGTCCAACAAGTTGTGATGGTCTGACCAAAATCCAAAAATTTAGCTGCATTCGCCTTCCGGTAAATATTGTTTTTCTTTCTTACTAGCTCTTGAGAGAGCCACCATGGTTGCTAAGCAGGCTGACATCGTTGCTGCCCTTTCTCTAGAAGTACTGAAAGGAACGAACACTGCTTTTGATAGTGGTAACTATATATTTCGAAATTATAGGAATCCGATTTATTTAACACAATTTTTTTTAAACATTTTTGAGATCTCACAAAAAATAGTGTGTTATATAAATAGATTAATACATAATGAATTGTAGTTTGGTCTTTCTTCGAATGAGATCTGGATAAGTTGATCTACAATACACTGAATTAGTAAAAGAAACCACTTCATTTAACAAAGCTAATCCTACATTTGCCTCTCCACCCAGGAGTTGTTCTGCAGTATATATGGGTACCCAGTATATATGGGTACCCAATAGAATTGGTGCCTTTGGAATGTGCTGCATTCTATTGGAAGCATGATTAGGGATATTCCCCAGGAAAGAGAAAGAGGTTGCAGTGACCAGGGGTATTTATGACATCACCAGCACTTTGCATTGTATCCTTTGGCAAAAGGCGTGGTATAAACATTTATTTTAGAATACTGATGTCGAAATTTAATTTCCAGATATCCATAGAGTCAGACCGCACAAAGGTCAGGGTATGGTAGCCCATCGTCTGCGCTCCTTGCTTCATTCGGATCTGTATCCGTCAGAAATTGCAGAAAGTCATCGCTTTTGTGACCGTGTACAAGATGCCTACACTCTCAGGTGTTGCCCACAAGTAAGTGTAATTAAAAAAACACTTTGTTGTATATTTATATTCTATTCTACATAAATACCATTTGCTTGTAATAAGTGTGTTTCTTGTTACTAGAAACTTCACATTAACGATGATGACTGAACAAATACAAGCTTAAAATAAGTTTGTCTCCAAATTACTTACCCAATTTATTAAATGTTACAATAATGAGTAGTAATTTGATATTTAATCTAATTGATTATTTCATTTCTTGCTACTTACAGGTACATGGAATTGTACACGATACTCTCGAGTTTGTGCGAGGTGTTATAACAATAGAAATGAACAGTGCAACAGACAATCCAGTATCCTTTAAGAGATGATGATGATTATGATGCTGATGGTGGTGGTGATGATGAAGATGATGTTGGTGAAAGTGAGGATGGTGACGATTATGATGTTGATAGTTGAGTTATGGTGGTGGTGGTGGTGATGATGGTAGTGATGATGATAAAGATAAAGATGAAGATGAGGACAAGGAGGACAATTGCAGAAGTGGTGATGATGATAGGGCTTTTACAATTTTTGGCAACACTACTGTATGCTTTTTTGCATATTATTATCTCTACTCTCACTTTATCGTGTAGCCCTTCATTACTTAATAATACATACTTACATATTAGTTCATGTCTAAACCATTCTTTGCTACTATGTTTCACACCAATTTTTATTAATTGTCCTTAAATAAGCCTTTCTATAGATCGTTTTTCCTGAGCGTGGGGAGATTCTATCTGGGGGTAACTTCCATGGTGAATATCCAGCCAAAGTATTGGATTATTTGGCCATAGCTGTACATGAGCTTGCCAGTATGAGTGAAAGACGACTAGAGAGACTTGTGAATCCAGGTAAGTTTTCAAAATGAGCTTTGATTTTTCAAAAACGCACGGGCCTAGTGAACTTTCCAATTTCTTCTTCCAAACACAAGTTTAATTTGGGTTAAATTTTGAGTCTGTATTTGACATGTTCATTGAATAATGTGTATAAATAATGAATGTTCTTTTCCAGCTTACAGTGAACTCCCAGCATTCCTTGTCAAAGATGGTGGCCTTAATTCCGGCTTCATGATGGCGCATTGTACAGCAGCTTCACTTGGTAATATTTCAAATATTAATAAATTATGAACGTAAACATCGAATTACTATGACTAGTAGAAATTTTTTTCCAGTGGTGACAAGAAATAGATGGCTAATTTTTTCTTGTATTTTCTTAGTGTCTGAAAACAAGGTACTGACACACCCATCATCAGTTGATTCCCTTTCTACAAGTGCTGGAACAGAGGATCATGTTTCCATGGGGGGTTTTGCTGCTCGGAAGGCACTTCAGGTGGTGGAACATGTTGAACAAGGTATACTATATATTTAAATGTTTAGTAGTATGTTTACAGTATTTATAAATTTATTTTTAGATTTGATATATAGCACCTTATTTTTCAGCAATTGTAGTAGGTGTACACCAGTGGTATTATTGTTATTGTGTTGTTATTGGTATTATTACAATATATTCCAACAATTATAAAAATTAAAGTTGCTATCATAAATTTAAATTCCTGGACCTTTATCATATATCATTTATTTCACTCGTAAAACAATATGGCTGACTAGCCAGATTTCCCAAAAACAACCCAGATTTACTGTCACCGTGATGAGGCTCTCGTGACAGCACATACAGTAAAAAAATACTTAATTACAAAAAAATCTTATCTTTTAAAAATTGAATTTAAAATGTAAAAGTTACTAAAGTTTAGAACTAATTTACAGCGCATAAAATATATAAAATACATTTAAAATAATTTTTTTTTAAATGGCAAAAAGGGAAATACAAGCAAAAAAGATCATTACAAAAGGATAAAATTAACTTATAAAATGAAGTTTAAGGTTATTTAAAAATGGATATAAGCTAAAAATGAGTCGATGGAAAATTTAATACAACTGATAAAAGCTAAAATTAAGTAAAGCTTTCCTTTTCTTATTTTACGTCTCCTTTCTCATTTATGGGTGAGTAGCTAATTACCTGCATTTTTACAGACATGTCAGAAACATCATTTATGTTATCAATTAGAATTAAATTCATAATGTTCAACAATTTTTGTTTCAGTTATTGCAATTGAATTATTGGCTGCCTGCCAAGCTATTGAATTTCTCAGACCCTTGAAGACTACCGAGCCTTTAGAAGCACTTCATAAATTAGTACGCTCACACGTAAAGTAAGTAACAGTATCCATTCTAATAATAAAAATATTTTAGGTTTTACAAGATAAAGCAAAATAATAATAATCTTTAAAGAAGTAAGTGTTTATTTTGCCATATTGTTGGGAAGGACGTGTTGAAGTTTATCTAACAATTGTTTTGTTTTCCTTTATCGTAGACCATGGGACAAGGATAGGTATTTTGCCCCTGACATAGAACTTTCTCATCAGCTAATCAAAGACGGAAAGGTAAAATATTTTTTATTTTAGATTTTTATAATTTTGCCATATTAAACTCATATAGCAAATCGCAGGTATTTGTCATGTGAAATGTGTGGACAGCTACCGGTATACATTTTCATCCATCATGTAACTTAAGGCCAACTCAGCATGGTACAATGCAGCTCCGACGAGATTTATCATTGGGGACAGTCTTCAGTTCTTTATGAGAAATTAAACATGTTTAATATTTTGTGATGCTACAGTCCCCAACACAGACCTATGCGTTTATTTCGTACACTGATGTAACACAACATCGGAGCGGGTTACGTCATAGGACTCTGTCTGGGTAGGCCTTTACAGGGTGGAATTGATGCTTATGATAATAACTGTTCATTTCAAAACAATTTCTTTTTAATTACTTAGGTCTGGGAAGTTACTGAACCATATATGAAGAAATACTTCAACGAACAATTGAAAGAAACGAGGTCATTCTCTCCAACTACGAGCTCGCTCACTCCGAAAAAGAAACGTAAACTCACAAAGTAGCACATTACAACATACAGTGAATCGACAAACTGAACTGTCGACAAATTTGGTTAATAAACTGGAAATCCATGAAATGAATATTCCAATATGAATGAAACTATTTTATATATTTATTAGTATGTACTAAGCCCTTGTTCAGATATTGTAAACATAAATACTACAATTACGCTGGTTTGGGCTAGAAAATATTCTACTGATGTTTTCAATTTCCTTGAAAGATTCTACTCTGTTTCCACGTTCATATCTGCATTTGTTTTTTTACATTTCTATTTATTACTCCACTACTTTATTCAATCCATGCAATATGTATACTCTTGTGCCTTGGATCATTTATTTTGTTATTATTATTATTATTATTATTATTACAAAAAAAGTTATATTACCTTTGTCATACTTTTTTAGTTTTAGGCCTACAAATAAAACTGTTGATTAAAATAAACCTTCTATAGCTTGAAAGAGTCATCAAGTATAAACAATATTATCTCAACTTTTTCAATACCGTAAATGATCTAATAAGCGCCTCTCTCAGATGCCAAACATGCTATTGTTTAATATCACTATAGTTATATTCGATTTTGTTGTAATGTTTCGACTTAATCCAAAGTGTGCGTTACAATATTCCTTAATGTTTTATATCATTGAGAAAACAACAAATTTCACAAACTTATCAATACTAACATTGGAACAAGTCAAATAGGCCTCTGTACAGCACATGATACAAGTTTACCACCCCAATAATTTGTAAGTGCCACTCCCCTATGAGCTCCTCTTTTAAATTAATGCTGCTCTGAAGCCTCAAATAATGTTATAAGCACTGCAGTGCTTATTAGGTCGTTTATTCTATTTCAAAAAGTGAGAAAGTGTTACCACGAACTAGAGGGCGTCCTTCAAAAAGGCGAGCCTCTATAATAGGAACTCTAGGCGAGCTTAACGTTTTTATTTTTTGCATACAAAATCAGAGCAGTCGGACATCTTGCATTTCTATACATATCATATTTTATATACTTTGGTGTTACATTGTAGAATATTAACATTTTTAAAATGTGTTAAAGAATACCGTAGTGAGGGGAAATAAGTCTATGGGGGAAATGCATTTTAATATAAATTCGTAATTGTTTAGCGTATTACGTTCACAAAGTTTGAAATTCGTTGATGGTAGCCGTGTGTTAAACAAAAAAATGAATAAATATAATAAAAATGAAATTTGTTGAATGCAATTCTTGTCACCCATTGTACACTTATGCAGGCTTGCATTTTAATTCTTAGCATGAGGCCAGATAATGCTGTAATTTCGAATCCAATATTTGTCGCTGACCAGTCAGTATGTGTTATTTAATAGTCAGGAATACGCGCACAAGCACACGAGTTGATGTGATGCCGTTCAGCAACAATAGTAGTGGGTTTAGCTAGCATAAAGGTCTATCAAAGCTGCAGTCAAATTATATATATATATATATATATATATATATATATACGTGTACTTTATTTATTTGTTTTATTTATTTATTTATTTATTTTTATTTATTTTTTTTTTTTTTTTTTTTTTTTTTTCATTAACGGCTGTTTGGATGATGTCAGAACAATTTATTGATTATCCTCTGTACATGCAATTAATCATTTGACGGCGTGATGGGAGACTTTCAAACAAAACGGCTCACAATACGGCTGATAATAATAACTTAGTAAATTATTATCGTTTACAATTCTAATTTAGCTTAAATGGAAGTCCAAGTAAATCGTGAATAGCTGATGAAAATATCGCAAATTAAGCTATTTCCCCAACAGATTGTGTTTTACTGTATCATTACAACTTCATGGACGATCTTCAATTGGGTATTATAGGACTATTTTTATGCCGTCCGTCTAATTAAAATATGATAATATTAATTAGAGAAATGAATATATTGAACAATTAAGGAGGTAAGATATGAATCATGGAAAGGAGTAGAGAATCAGATACGATAACGCAAATAGTTTTCCAAAGTTAAGACATTTATGAGGGCGCTGTTACTACCTTACTATTTTTCTGCGCGTGCGCACAAAAGAAGCTCCATATTTGAAAACGTAAATAGTTTCAGTCACATCGCGGGGGAAACGACTGTTGACAAAATTTAATAATTATATATACTTAAGTGTGAGTATCACCCTTTTTTAACAGATCACAGGCCTAGTAAAAACGTCTAGGCTAACTTAGCCTAATAGTCATGTCCCTACCTAGCTAATTAACTAAGAGGTGTGCCCCACTCACTCAGTCCATCACAGGAGCCTCCTGAGGAGGGAAGTAGGGCCTAGGCCTAGCTAGGCTGGGACCTAGCCTACTACTACCTAGGGTAGGTACGCCTAGAGGCCTACCTCAGCCTAGCGTAAGCCACCGCCTACCGACGATAAGATAGGCCTTGGCTGGCCTAGCCGTGGGTGGGGTTAGAGGTAGGTATATAATAGTCAAGAGCTTCGACGATTTGAAAATTCTACTACCCTACTACTACTACTAGGACTAGCCTACTCACTGCTTACAAAACATTTTGTATTGTAAAAAATTGATAAATTTATAGTTGTTCCATATTGCAAAGTTTTTTAATTGCGTGGATGATATGCCAAAGACCTAGAGCCTACCTCAAACTCAAAACCATCTTAAATTTGCTTGGAAAATAGGTACACAGAATAATATGTAATAATATAGTGTTTGTATATTAAGATTAGGCAAAATGTACATGGCTATTTTCCTATCCATGAAATATTAACAATCTTAGGCTTACTTATCAAAAAATGTTCCCTCCTACAGTCAAAGTTTCTGAAAAATGCATCGTAATAGGTCATCAAGTGGCAGTCGTGCATCACTGGGCCCACTTCGTATCAAGCAAGACAGTGGTGGGTAACTTTAAAAATATATTTTATTTTGTTGTATATTTCCATGTTTTTGACTTTGTCATCCTAATTTAAAGTAAGAATATTAACCTAAATATACATGTACCGTACCGGTACTTGACTCAGAAAATATGGTTTAACTCTATTATTATCTCAGAACATATTGCTCCGGCTAAAATATCATACAACAGTATGTTTAGGGATATTATAAAGTAAAAATAAATATGCTTCTTTATCATATTATATTTCAATATGCTGTTATTTGGTATTTTAGCTGGAGTACGAGGACGTTCTTTAGCTGGTGGGCGTTTGTCAACAGGAGCAAATTCTAGAACAGCCAATGGGAGAAGTTCAATTGGTGGGTCCAAGAAATCAATGATTCCTAAACCCAGCATTGGCGGTCTTAATAAAAGGTATGTTAAAAAAAAGAAAAATTAATCTTATGTGTGATAGAAGGAAAAACCTTAAAGATGAGTTTTAATTTTGTTTATTTTATGAAATGTTTGCACACTTTAATATTAAATATGAAAGTATAGAAAAATATATCGATTTTTTCCCTCATCTGACAGACGTTCAAGTAACTATGGGCGGCAAACGTATGGCCATGAAGTTTTAAAAGATCCAAGACCAATCAGCGATAAATCGTTCATGCATAGAGAAATTAAAGAGATAGTAGAGGTAAGGCAACTGTTATAATACATTATATGTGGCAAAGACAAAGCCAAACCAAATTTTCAAAAATTGATTTTTGGTTATAATTACAGGGTTTAAAGATAAAAATGGGTGCTATAAAATGGTAAAAAAATCTTTTAAATCCGACATTTCATTATGAAGTTACAAGAGTTTAAACATATAGCTGTTTAAAGACCAATATTTCAGAAATCAGCCTTCAAAGTTTATGATTAAACATTAATACATTTGAAAAAATATTTATCTATAAAATCCAATCAATTAAGATTAAAAAAATAAAAGTAGGTTAAGCATGAGAACTATATTTTTTAAATCTCTTTTTCTATTAAATTTTAGTTTCTGATTGACAAACGCTACCCTTCACCGGTGACAACTAAATCGCTTATCACACCAACTACTAAAGACTTTCTCAGAATCTTCCAGTTCGTTTATGCATTCCTTGAACCGAAGTTTGTCATGCCAGCAAAGCATGAAGAAGAATTGCCAAAGATCATGAAAACACTAGGGTAAGGCTTAGTGTTATTCATATATAGACATTTGCATAATGCGCTATTACAGGCTGTGGTGCCAGTGGTGGAGGACAATTTACCGTTGTCGGACACGTCTGGACCCCCTTCGACTAAAAAAATTTAATTTGCCTATCTAAATCGTTATTTTTATTGCCAGTCCCTAATATTGTGGTCTAAAAGCACAATTTTGAACCATACTAAGCCATTAAAAATTCTCGGTCCCCATGAACTCAGGGATGTAGTTATGGTGGGCAGGGCACCCCAGTCTTAAAGTATTCCACCCAGACTAAAGCTAATTTCATGGCCTTCAACCTACTCTTAATTAACCAATTTTTCCATCCTTAAAGTCTACTCTTATTACTTAGAGTTTACCAATGTTATTACCAACTCACCCTTAGGTTTCTACAGCTACAACCCTGTGAACCCTACCAGAATGTTGTTGGAGCGTGTGGCGCAACGTGTAAGTTGTTGGATTTCTGGTTGGGAGTTTGAGACCGACGTTCGCCGCACTGCTTGTGTCCTTAGGCAAGACACTTTACTTACGTTTGCCTCTCCACACCCAGGAGTATAAATGGGAGGGTCATGCTGTCAACCTGCTCGTCGGTGACCCTGCTATGACTGTTCCAGTCAAATTAATAAAGCAACTAGATATCAATTGGTATCATACGAGAAAAAAAAAAAAAAAAATCAAGGCTCTAGTCGGCCCCTTGGTTCTGACCCTCGCGTCGGCAAATTTCTGGAGCCGCCACTGATTAGAAGGTCAACATAACTTTTATTTATTTTTATAAAATATATTCTGGTAGCCTGCCCATTTATTATTTTATTTTTCATTGAGCAATGTGCTTTAATATTGCAAATTTTCTTGCATTTATATGATAACAGTAATGATTTTTTCGGTTATATTATTTTTATGTGTTAATTTTAATTTTATTTTAATTTTGTAAATTATTACTTTTCAATGTTTTCTTTTATTCCTTATTCTCTCATTTTTTTTTCAGATTTTATATATCTCTGTTTTGATTTAATTAATTTGTTAATGTTTAAGATCTTGTTTAATTTTCATCTTATACTTTTGTCTTTTATTGTATAAGGGTCACTATTGGTCAGCTCAGGCTGGATGTACCACCCTCACAAAATATTGTTGAAATGATTTATTAATGAATTCTTTCCTCAATACAATTTTTGGTAAATGTTTCATCCCCTTTTAGCTACCCATTTAACATCAGCAAGAGTTCTCTGTACACAATTGGTAGCCCACACACCTGGCCACACCTATTGGCAGCTCTTCATTGGCTCATGGAACTCGTCAAGGTAAAAACAACATTTTGTCAAGGTGAAAACAACATTATGAACTTTGGAGATCTCTTGGTCCCCAGTTAAATTCCAATTGCTGCTCTACTTGTATTTCAGCTGGAGGGCTGAAATCTAAGTTAGAATAGTGCACTGTCTTTTGGATGAGACGTTTAATCTGTTGTTCCAGTGTGCATTATAGCCCAAGTGCATGTTAAAGAACGCAGAACACTCTATGGAAAGGAGTAGGGGATTGTCTCCCGGTTTACTGCCCAATCACCACCAGAAGGACCCACTGGAAATAAGTAACATGATTAAGTAAATCAAAACGTTGAACCTCAAAATTTTGATTTGTAATTTTGTTTCCAGTGTGGTATGAGTATGAGACCGGAGGCAATGCTGTACGGTTGCGGTGATGATATCGCAGACGAATTTGATGGCAAAACTGAAGCACAAGTGAGTTCACTGTTTAAAAAAAAATGATTTCTTAAACTATCTATTCACCAACGATTCATATTTGAAAGAAAGCTAAAAATTGTGTTTATTATGTTTAAAACAGTGGTTGACAAGTGCATCTATAATTGCAATAATAATAGGACGCTCAACAGTATATGAACAATATTTTTTTTCTTGAAACCAATTTCCTTTTTCTTTTAATGTTGTGAGCAGGTGCATCTATATAGTATAATTATTAATATGAGGTTTTTATCATGAAACCAATTTTTTGTTGTTATGGAACAGGTTTTGTATGAGTTTGTTGAATCTACTTATGATGCATTTTTGGGTGGAGCAGACACTTACGAGGTGGAGGAGCAAGCTGTCGCCAAAGATTTCAGTATGTTGCTTTTATTATTACTGTTTGTGAACATTAGAATACTTTTTAAAACCTGTACATCGGGGGTGGGGCAGCTAGCCCCGACAGGGGGCCTGTCCCCCCACTGGCGCCAGCTCTGCTTAACAATTAGGAAAAATTATGTTTTTCTTACAGGACGTAAGGTATTGTGTGTAGCAGGTGATATTCAACAACTTGAGGCTGAGAAACAAAGGCTAACAGCTGAGTTACAGCTATTGGAAAATGAACCGGTAAAATTTTTTCAATCTCGTTTGAATATATACAGAATAAATAAGCTGAATATGTGGGCTTTTGAACATTTTGATTGGTGGTCAACGAGAAAATTCTATATGAATCCCATATAACATCAAATGCCATGCATGATTGTGGCTCACTCACAGTATTACAAATTAAACTGAAAAACACCAAATAATAACCACAAGACAATATTACTGATTTTGTTTACAACTGGCACATTCTTACTAGCCTAGTAGGTAAACAATACTAGAAAAAGGTTTGACCCTTCACACTGAAATTACTACGACCATAAGACCATGGAATATTTCATCAATGTATTACAAATTAAACCAAAAACCACCAAATAATAACCACAAGACAATATTACTGATTTTGTTTACAACTGTCACATTCTTACTAGCCTAGTAGGTAAACAATACTAGAAAATGGTTTGACCCTTCACACTGAAATTAAAGTCCTGGCACTATGACTATAAGACTATGGAATATTTCATCAACAGTGCCAGCTAACTGCCCTGCAAGAACGCTTTCAGGTGATGCAGATTGATAACAACAGATTCAAGAACTACCTTGTGGAGCTGGAGAATCACAAACGAGCTCAGGAACAGAAACTGGCAGAAGTTGACTGCAAGTATCAACAAGAAGGTATGGTTGAGTACTGTAATTTAGTCAATTGTTATGATTTTGCATGAATGCAGTAGCAGCTCTAGAGGGAAAGCTTAATAAAGTGCGTAACAATAATAAGAAAACATAATGTAGCAATGTTAGATATATGATCAAGGAGTAGTAAGTAAATCTACATCAACAATTTATACCTTTGTACTGAGTAAATACATTGTAAGATACAATAACAGGGAAAGTATACTAAACAATACAGAAATGGGGTGGCGGTGATGATTATTATGACGATGATGATGATATAATGATAATGGTGACTGCGAAGGAGTGGTAGTGGTCTTGATATTTATAGTGATAATTATTTTGTTAATTAATGTTAAATTAAAGTAATGCAATAACTGCCAATCAAACCATCTATATATTGAGCTGCAGTATTATACTTTATGATGAGCTATAGTAATTTGCAGCATCCATCATGATTATGCCATCTTCGGTCAAGTCAAGGCGCCATGAACATTCCCTCAGAACAGATATTGGCGCACTACAAGTGCTCAATATTACTATTATAATTATTATTATTTTCTATCTAGCGCTGGCATATGAGCAAACTATAGCAGAAAACAAGCGACTCAAGCACATATTTGACACACAAGAGTTGAGTGCAGCTGATGTGGAGAGGATCAAGATGCAACAGAGAGAACTTGCTCAGACACTGGAGAGTCTGGAAAAAGAGAAGGAAGCATTCGATAGAGAAATATGGCAGGAAGAAAAGGCCATAGCAAAAGAACGAGAACAAGTGAGTTGTGTGTAAATGGTTGTCCAGTAATTATATTTCTAGTTGCTTCGTAATATTTATCCATTCATTGGAACATATATAAGTTAACTGATGAGAGTCTTATTAAAACTTCATTTCTCATATTTTGACTTTAGATTGAACACCAGGCACAAAGTTACAACAACATGGCCCGTAAACTGAAGCTGATTCCCACCACAGCAGAGAATTCTCACGGTATCGATTACGAACTGCGACTTAACTTTGTTTCACAACATCCAGATCACGCAAGCATGATGAACTTTGCCAATATGATCAAGGTACATGCTCTAGCTGTAATATATTTTTGTGAATGATCTTTGCAATTTCTTAAATTAATAGAATCCATGCCAATTTTTTTTTAAATAATGAAATGAATAAAAATGTTGAATAATTATAATTTTGAATTTTGCGTCTAAATTTGTCGTAAAGTCCGGCGCTCACTGTGTTGTACGATCATCATACAGCAAATCCAACTCCGATCCTTTGAGCTCTAGACAACGCGATGCCATCTGCTGATTGCCTGACGTTGCATTCTCCATATAATCCTGTCGGCCGTTGACCGTCGAGCATAAAATTATTGATCTTTGTGTTTTATTTTACTCCCTTTAGCCTGCATTAGTGCAGCTGAAGAAACAAGTCAAAGAGACAGTGCATGATATAAACAGTCAAAAAGATATAGAGATGGAAGCATTAGAACAGGTTTGTACATACTGTACTCATCTTACATGATGTGTGGAATAGTGGTGAGGCTTTTTACTAAATAATAACATTTATAACATCTGCAATACTGCTTAGAGCTGCATTTTGTAGGGTTTACAAACTAGTTTTATCCACAGATAATAAATGGCCTAATTTGAAATTGTGCATTGTATTTTATAAATAATCTCTTCTTTTCCTAAGATCTTGGAGATGGTTGAGAGCAAACAAGAAGAGATTAGCCTGCTGGAAACCAAGTTGGAAAGAGCAGAGAGGGAGTTCATAAGCCACAAAGAGGTACAGTGATCTTCATAATCCAATTGCTATAGTAATCACATCTAGTGTTATCCTCTCAAATACATACTGTTTAATGTCATGTACAAAATAATTATTTACATAAAATCTAATTTTGTTTTTTAAATCATTCTCATCCAACAGTGAGTCACTTAAGAGGATGAAAGTGATGCTCTACAAAGTATGTTTTCCTCAAACTAATATCAGTAATCAGTACTTGGTTAAAAAAGTTTCAGTATGATTGTTTTTTTGTTGTGCAGAGATTGAACAAGGAGTACAAATCCAGCATTGAACAGGTTCACGTCTTGGAGGCAGAGGTCCTTGAATTGAAGCAGCTATCAGAGACAGACGTTGAAATACAAGCTAGAGATTTAGAGGAGATGAAACGCAAGTAAGCGCCATTAATAATACCTTTCTATTTTCAATCTAGTTTGAAGTTTGTATGAATGAAAGTCGGAATATCTACATCAATCAACTCTTCACTAAAACAAGTGGAGTTGAAAGATTGACTGTTCCATTCAACTCAGCTCCGACTCGTTGAAGCAACAGTCAATCTTTCAACTCATGAAAATATTCATCCCACTGCACTCATAAACATTAATTATTTGTATACTAACATTATAGTATACTAACATATATGTTATATGAAAATATCAATTAAAAATAGAAATAAAATTGACAAAACATTTTATATTAAAGTGTTGAAGACATTCTTAGATACAGTACTTAATTAAATCAAATACATTTCCTGCATTTTGCCTTCTTAGAGCTCAGCAGGAACTGGTGAGGATGAAGGAGGAAAAACACCAATTTAATGTCTTCCTTATAGATGTTGTTAATGAAATCCTTCAGCACAAGACAATTATACAGGTAAGATCTCGGTATTTGCACATCTCCCCTTGTGCTAGCTATTTGATTTCTTTCAAATTTTTAATGCCAAATCACTGATTATGCCAAATCGGCAACAAATGTAACAAATATAATATACCTATTAGGAAACTAAGAACCGCATAAGAATCAGAGTCAGTACACACAAACACCCCTGACTGAATCATCGATCAAGACTTCACTATACATTTCTAAACATTAGCATTACTAACATAGACCAGATAGGGAGTTCCTTCATTAAATGATAAATGACATGAAGCTCACACCATAATTATAGTACAATACAAGCATAAAAAATAATATGATACATACCATTATTCTTGAATCTTGTTATAGTAATCCAAATAAAGGCAAATATTATCCATAATAGTATAATCCAAAGTACAAAGTAAATTAATCCAAAGAAAAATAATCCCTTAGTGTAATAATCTAAAGTAAAGTAATCTAAGTTTGCAAGCTGGTAACAACTAATGGTTGCCTAAGAAATTGTCTGTTCACTTCAACAACTGAACTGCAACTGACTAGAAGAATTCACATCAACTGCACATCTGTACATACCACAAAATAAATGCAAATTAAGTATGTAAATTAAATGACTGAATACCATTCAGAACTTCTAGAAATCACAGAGTTAAATGAAGGAAAACAAAGCAATTAAATACAGTATACCGACTGCAGTTATAATAATTTATTCCTCCTCATTTAACTTGGAAATTTTACTGGGCCCTTGGAAACAAGTAATGGATACATGCAGACACAAACCTAACCCTTAACCTGTCCGATTCTTCTGTAAGGGTTATTCAAGGAGCTGAGACCTACGTTCAAATCTTGACTTCCTAGCCTGGAATGAGCATAACAGGTAGTCACATGTTGGGCAGTAATACCATATTAATTTTTATTGTTTATTTGTTAAATTATTGGTTTTTCAATTTCTTATCTTACCTACCATTACCCTTATTATTTTTTAGGAACACATCAGTGGACTACACACAAAGGCACAGGAAGAACTTAAGAGCTTACAACAATAGACACTATATACAGCTTGAAGATTACAAAACTATAGAGGGAGGTTTTTAGTCATTTCTCTGCTGATGTGAACTGATATGTGGAACATGTCAATAACTCTATGATAAAAATCAATACCCTCATGAGCTGTTCACTGTAAGGTTATAAGTAGTGATAAACTTATTATGTATGATATACATATATGTATGACCTCTTGTAGCAGACGCCATTTTGTTGATGGGAACAATGTGTGCCTAGCCTTTAATAATTATTGTATAGCCTCTTTTTTTGTATTCAGATCCCATGAAAGTGGCTTATTTACATTGTTGGTTTAACATTATTCTTTGGGCCTACATTCAACCATGTTGTTCATCCTTGAATGTGAACATTTTCACCTTTTCAAAAATTGATTGGTTGATGAAAATAAGAGGAACAATACTATTTATGCCTAATAACTGAAATCTAACAGTAAAAGTATATTGGCTCTACGTGTATAGTAAAAATTTATTAGATGCTTGGTTTGTACACCCATCTGTGATGTAGGGCTCATAAGAATGCCATTGCTGCTGAGGTCACTGATTTATCACCTATTCTGTATATGTTTTCCTACAAAAGAATTTTGTATAGTGTAGCTTTTCGATCCAGGGAATAAAGGGGTGTGGCCACCACTGTGAAGTCTTATAAATGAATTTTTGCGATTTTGATGGTAATAATATAAGCAGATGTGATCTGCTATAAATCATTTGTAGAGTAGGTGGTATGTATAGTTGGTCCTTAGGCAACCCCTGGATTTAGTTCGTTTGTTGCTCATTGTATAGGCATGCAGTATTAAAATGTGGTTACCATTTACATTTAAAAAAAAAAAATGTAAATGTAGGCATTTTGTGTTTCATTATTTAAACATTGTGTTAGCCAGGGTAATACTGAACTATGATGGGTTGGGTCATAAAAAAATACAGATGTATAATATAACATACAGTACTTAAAAATATATGATGAAAGCAAAGTAAAGACCACGATCAAAACCTTATGAAATTTACATACCACATGAACCAGATCTGGTTACTTATGTGATGTAAATGTTAATGCTACTGCAATTATCTGATATCAAAACTTTCCAAATGGTACACTTACAGTAGTACCCAAAGATGATTAATTATATAACTACAGCATATATAAAATGCAACACACTAGTATAAATTATATAATACCTTATTTATAACAAATGGTTAGTAATGAATAATTGCCAAACTAATATTAACCACTGTGTGTGTGCGCTCAACCTTTCAGACCGTTGGTTCCTGGTTCAGTGGACCTTTCTGCTGAGCCCCTTGGATATTGTTGCTAAGGTCCCACCAAACGACACGTATGTTTGTGAGACGCGTGCGCTAATTGGTCCGTTGTTAAGTTTGATTGACACTTCAGGAAATGTCTTACATTACTGCTCTTCAGCTAGAGGGGCAGAAATATACAAGATGCATTTGAAATGTACAAAATTATTTAAAAGTAATATTAAAAAGGTTTAAAAAGCAAGTTTATGTAGGAGGAGTCATAAATTGGAAGAAGTCATTTCCGGGAGATGTTTAAACATAGCTTTCTTAGAACATCTAATTTTGATTTTCTACTTATGGCGATACCATAGTATAAACACTAAGATTTAATTAATTTGACGGAGATAGATTATTTTCTGCATTCTTGTCCGGTTGATGATTGCGGGAGGCTGTCCAGATTTCTGGGAGACTCCCAGTACTTGTAGGAGACTTGAGACCCTGATATAACACAAGGTCCAGGAAATAATTCTCTTGTGGGTTTTCTTTGTATGTTACACACCGATGAAAATAATAATTAATCCAATATAGAGGGCATATTAAAAACGTTTTTGAATGGTTCAAATAATTACCACATTTATTGGAGCAATCAACTATAAAGCATACTTAGCTCCTACTTTCATTCTCATCTACCAAATGATGCAGTCTGGAAGAAGCGTTGTCAAATTGACATTTATTCATCATGTTCACTTCATTCATGCTTTAACTATTACAAACATGATACCTTGCAAGAATACAGAACTTACTGATAAAACACATGTGACCTGCTTTCTTATATAATTGTAAGCCCTGTACATGAAGTATTACTTATTAAAATTTATTGTTGAACTCAGTCAAAATGCATAGGCCTATTGTAAAATGTCAAACCTTGAATAAAATAAAAACAAGAGCGACCGCTCACAGGTCTGCACGCTCCTCCACGCCTAAATACGGTACAGGCGCAAGTTATTATATTAGGTTTTTGGGAAGAGCTAATAAGATACATATTATTATTTAGAATGTTCATTTCTACAAAATTAAAATATTTTAAAATTGGGGGAAAGAAAATTGAATACCAAGAAAATACTCACAACCTTTAACCGACCGCGCTATCCATGCGACGTGCCCTATTAGTGGTAATTGCAGTAATGTACAGTCCTTGCTGAAACCCCTGTTTCCCTGGGGTCCAACATAAAAAAAGGATGATGAATGTGTACGTATTTATGTGTACAAAATTTCCTGCATGTCCGTTCAAAACTGGTGACGCTGGACGCTTTTAAAGTTCTGGTAACAAGAACAGCAGTGAGGCTCTGGGGTCCCAATTATGAAACAAAACTAAAACCATTTCTATCTTGCATTTAATAAACTTATTTCAATATTAAATTATTTATTGATGATATATACAATACAATATTAAATAGCCTTGCCCCCTTCAGATTGTTAACTTTTTAAAATTATAGACATTTTTTAAAGTTGAACCACTTGAAAATTCTTACTTTGCTTGTCATTATAAGTGTATCACTGAATGTAAAGTTGTGGCATTTTTTTCGTAACCCTATTAAAGTAAAGTAGAGGTTCATTATAAATTGCTGAATTTCAACAAGTTTTAAGGTATAAAGATATGCAATGAATATTTTTAATATAAACTATACTGACATTAATGTTTGCAAAATTGCTCCATCTGATATTATGCACACAATCTAAACCCTGTCCAGATTTTCAAATTTCATTCGACCAAAACATGTGAAATGCCTAAATATTGTCATATGACATCACATCATTACCATATATAGGCACATGATGACTATATATGGGCATAGAACAGTTTTTTGTCAAAGAAAATTTGAGAGTGAACAGAGCTTTATATGGACATGAGAACAGAAACTTGGTGTATCATCATTAAAATTAATATCTTAACTATTAAGTTATCAACTTTCAAATACAGAGGACGGTTGACAATTCACTCAATGTAACACACATATCAACTCAAATACATGATGCTTGGCAAGTAATATATACAAATTAATTAGTAATCAATTAAAAATACTGATATAAATTCATTAAATACAAAATCAAAAATAGCACCTGCTACAAAAATAATTATAACATCTTCAAATCATAAATATTTAATGTGTTCTATGAAATAATATATTTATATTAGTTGCCATAGAAACTATTTGCAGAAATAATAAATTCTATAATGAAAAATAAAAAATGGGGAGTTTAAAAAACATAAAACATATTACAAAGAATTATTATTTTACAATACCAGTAATCATAATTTCCATATGTAATTTAAGATAAATATTAGTACTTAAATATGACTTTTCTTAATTTAATGAACTATAAATATTAATGGTTACATCAGAACAATATAATAATCATGCATAGCCGACTAATGATGAAAATAATCATGCATTATTGTAAACAAGACTATTTCTTTGCTTCACAGTATGACATACGGTAAGCATAGCCCCGACCATGCTGGGGCAGATGCAGGAATTGGTGCTAGTGGGTATGTGAGAGTACACATGACGACAGCCCCACCATAGTTGCGAACATTTTGAGAATATGGTTAATTTGCTTCTTACATCCAACTTACTAATCTCAAGTTATTACTATAGTTCTTAAAAATCAATAAAATAAAAAGATAGCAGAAACTATCTTCCACATCCACCCCACAGAAGAGGGGTGACAGAAATACTGGCATCAAAAAAACCTCTCTTGGGAACCCGGCTCCTCTGGCAGGCAATTACAAAATTGAATATTGCACAATTTCAAGTGCCAAAAACAAATAATTGTTAAAAAATAGAAAAAAATAAAAAACACTTCTTAACAATTTGATGCACACCACACATCAATAAAGATTTGAAGAAATTGAAGGCAAATAACTCACCCTTTGGGATTATACTGTATAGGCATGTTATAATGAAATCACTATGAGATTCCTTAGGGGCAACCTATAAATGTAGATGGCGTTAGCTTTTAGGAGTAGGTACTTAAAACGCCGCTTTGAGCAAGTAAGAGCACTCCTGAGGTCTTCCTGTAACAGTATTCTTGTATTAAGATTAAGTCATCTCAACAACACTTAATATGGATGTGTTATATGCATCTATGTTGGATTATGGCACATTACAAATGCACTATTATTATTATTATTACTATTATTACTAACAGATCTTATGTTAACAGATAAAAATTAATCTTATAATAAGTTGAGTAGTTATGATAATTCTTTATTCTACTTTAATTCCTTTGGTTTAAGTATGAATATAATACAAGCATGGTAATATATAGACTAAATATTTTAAAACCAACAATAATAATAACTCTTGTTTTAATATGTTTTTTCATGGACTTGAAAAATGTTGGTGGAAGTTGGAAAGATTGGAGAAATACTTCAAACTTATATAGATGTTTCCAAATCCTACAATGGACTCTTGCCTATTGCATTATTACACAACATTTAATGGAAGACTCAAGACTCAAGTGGAATATGAAAAATGAATATGAATATATAGTAGTAGTATTAGAAAACTTCCACAAATAAACACATCTGCAGAGCATTCCAACAACAGAGGGCGCTACAAACAAACAACCCTTAAAATTAGCTTTTATAGCACAATTACTCCCATAATGCACCTACAATTTTTATTTTGTTTTCATTCTTGTAAGAAAACACAACAAAGGCTTATGTATCTTGTAAGATCATGGAGGTATAAAAAAATGGAGATTCAACCAACATAATAGAATTAGCCAAGCTAATGCCTAATTACCTTTCTCCAACACCAAATGGCTCACTACCAGTAGGTTAAAAAAGCCTGCTATCTGGTTACCACAGCTGGATGTCCGCTTTCATTCGAATCATCACAGCTGCTTGTTCAGAAAAATAGCACTTTTATTCCATGGTCACCTAGCAATGTACACATATTTTTAACCACTTTTGTCTTATTCAAACCTCTAGAGGGCTTCACGGTTCGGAACTTGATTACTGGGTGCAGAGTATGATGAGTCTGGAGGGTACGTAGTCTGTAGGCTATTACGACTTTTTACCGTAACTAAAAATGCACAAAATGTACAGTGCCTGCACTGATAGATCAAAGGGAGCCAGTTGGTTCAATTTCATTTTTTATACCTTCATGGTAAGATCAACAACTACTGATATGTACTAATAATTCTGTTAGTATATTGCCCTTTGACATAGTCATGCGCAGGGTAAACTATGTGATGGTTTATTAGGTAGGAAATATACTTAATAAAAAAGAAAGTATAAACATTTTCAAAACATTCTCAATGTTTCCACATACATAACACATTACAGATGGCATTAATTTCTGAATCCGATTTTCATAAAGATAAGTTGACAAGATTAGGTCATCTGTAGAAATCCAAATCGTTTCCAACCAACTGTTTTACAGACAATTTTTGATTTGTGGTGTACGCACAGAAAACTAGAAAGAAATTACACCACCATTTTTCACATCCATTAAAAAAAACCAGACAATTGTATACCTTTACATATAAAATATAATTACAAACAGTATCCTTTACTCTATAAATTGTTCAAATGAACAATTTTACGAAACTATACCCCCTATAAATACGTGAATCTCCTACAAATGCCTCCTTACATGAAGGGTGCCTTTTCTGGATGGTAGTGTGGGTTAGATGGAGGTTGGTAGCTCGGTGCACCGCCATAACCCCCAGCCGTGAATGGATACGGTGGTGGGGCGTCAGGTGCCGATGCATTTTGATGGTTGCTTGTTTGTAGTACTGGATACAGGGGCTGCGACTGTGCAGGGTGGTGTCCGTAGGGAACGCTGTGTCCTTGCGGATACACATGGTTGGTGTGGTAGTTATTTATTTGAGGTGGGGGTGTATGGTTGATTATTGTAGTTGGTGTTGACTGGTTTGCTGGAGCTGAAAAATTAAAAAGTCATGACTTAGTCATAAATTATAAAATGTACTTTAAAGGTGAAGAGCATTAACGTAATGGGACTAGGCTATTAAAATTAATTGCAAGAGTCTTTAATATTAACTCTTTTACAATTTAAAATGGTTAATTAACAATGTATTATTTAAACAATCAGATAGTACTTACAGTAAGCTACCCTTGTTCGTGGAGCTTGTCTCATACTACGAGCACGACGCTTTTTATTGACACAGCAACATGAACAGAAGCAGCAGCACATAACGACGCAGACGAAGACAAAAATAAACAAAGCGCATATACCCCCTATCGTCACCCGTATGCTGGAATTATAGAAAAAGATAATTTACAAATCAGTTATATAAAAAGACAAAATATAATTCAGTAAAAAGTTCACCCAATTTGTCATATACAGTGTACGCAGCTGAAATATAAAAAATCCATTTTGTTTTTGTCACAATGTCATCACATGGGATAAAAACTAAATACAATACAGTAGGATAAAATAACCAAAATATAAAGTTTACAGACTAAAACAAACCAAACACACAATAAGATAGCTTGTCGGTACTACACAATCAGTAAAACTAACTTGTCTTTATTTTAATACTAATTTCTCATTCAATATTTTAATAACACTGATTATGAATTTGCTATCTAATTTCTGTATATTCTATATATGAAAATTACTCAAAGGGTAGGTGGGTGAGGTAATGGAGGGGCGGGGGAGGGTGGACTTAGACATGAGTCTGGCATATACCCATCTACCTACAATGAAAACCTGACAACGAAACTTCAGATAATCAGAAAGTTTTTTTTTTTTTTACATCCTGCAATCGACTAAGTAATAAAACTTAATCAAATTATAGATAAATCGCTAATGGTAGTACAGTAGTGCTACTGGTACAAAGCACTTATAATGCATTTTCCTTTGAGTTATAAAATGCGATATAACATAAAACTTTATTGTCACAGTGGTTTATTATACAGTTATTAAATAAATGCAAGGCAAAAGTCCATCATTCCAGAAACATACAGTTGATAACAAGATATTTTCCAGAAAAACTCCAAGCAGCAAATTAACATAGTCAAACAATAATAATAATAATAATAATAATAATAATAAGATTTATTAAGCGCACATCTCCACTAATTAAGGGCCATAATCCACATTCCTTAAAGAGAACACCCATGAGAATCGAAGCTTCCCTATGTGAGGCCTATGGGAAGAGTTGCAAAATGAGTAGAAGGTAAACCCCCTTATGCAAAGGGAGTGTCTCATTATCAGAAAGGGGGGGGGGGGCTCTGAGCAAGAGCAGTCTTCTGTTTGGGTTTACACTTTATACCTATTCCTTGCTCCTGGCAAGATTGTATTTTACTTTGTCAAATGAATATTATTATTATTATACTAAAAGGGGACTGTTCAATAACAGTAATTTTCTGGTACTTGAATTCTCTATACAAAATAAATTCTTTGAATTTTTTTCATAAATGGCATCAGGAAGCTAAATTTTTAAGATCAATTATTAACAAATGGAGGAAGTAATTGAATATGAAAGTAACAATTAAAAGGAAATAGCAATAACATGAATAATAATAGTAAATGTAATAGGCTGTAATGTTTAATAAAAAATATCATACTCTAAATCAGTGGTGACATTATCACTTTTATTTGCTCTATATTTTCCTATTCCCGACTGATCACTAATCGTTACAGTGCCTCCGCTGATTTGTTGCATCTCGTGTGCAACAAATTTCAAAGCCGGGGTGATTTTACTACAGTACATCGCGATGGAGTATTTCGTTGCCAGGCTAAGCTATGAATGCACACAGCAAACCTAACATACCTCAATTTACAGCACTGGTTAACAGTTATGAGATAACATGGTGATTGACTTATAAAAGAATTGAAAACAATGCTGAAATAATTCATAATACTGTTTACAATACATTTTAATCTATTAAAACGAATAGTCTACCAGAAGGTTAAGCCTACCTAATAATAGCCACTAATAAACTTCATTAACCATCAATTTATTCACCTTCATATCATGAAGAGCTGTGTCAGAGCACATACTACTAAACAAATCATTCTAATTGATCACTTAGCAACTGGTCTCGGCTGCAACCAGCACTATGGATTTACAGTATAGCAACCCCTCTACAACCTTTGATTAAAGGGTGACGGACATTACAAATGACTTTAATAAAGCAAGTAAATTTTGTGATTTCGTACACTGTAGAAAATAAAAGTCTTAGGAGCCATTATTTCCTGAAATGAAGTAAATAATGGCTCCTTCGGTTTCTATTGCCTATAGTGTACTCAAAAATTGACTATAATTGCTTTAATTAAAGTAAATTAAAGTGAGCAATATCAGCGTTTAACAGCCTAGCAAAAGCCACTCATTTACTGTACTGGCACAAAAACCGAAAGGTTCACTGATTAATCTCAGATAAGAAAGTATAATACATTCAGTACTCCAAGTATTGGAAATATACACCATCGTGTTGGGATTGAATATATCAACATTATGTCATCATTAGGAATGACTGGCGCAAGTACAGCAATACTTTGTAGATTATTAATATATTAACATTACACAACTTTATATCTATAGAATTATAAAAAAATAACAATATTAAATGATACAGGCCACATTATGTAATGTCCATACCTCATTTGTATTTATTTGTAGACTTAAGTAGTTCAATAGACCAATAGTTAAATAGGATGGAATCTAAAGTTTTTCCAGATTTTTTTTATGGCATTATTAAAGTGAGCAACATCAGCCTCTAACATCCTATCAGAAACCACTCCGTAACTGGCACAAATACAGAAATACTATGTAGAGTACAGTAAGTCATGTATATTTGATATGTAACATTATATTACACAAGTTTATATCTCAAAAAATATATGAAACTAACACAATAGTAATAGAAATATGAAATATAACAATATTAAATGATACATATAAGCCACATATAATGTATAAAATGTGATGTCTATACTTATTTGAGTTTGTAGATTTAAATAGTCCAACAGACCAAAAGTTAAACAGGATGGAATCCGTTTTTTTTTTTTTTTTTTTTTTTTTTTTTTTTTTCCGTCAGTATTTAAACTTTAGTATTATGTTTACTATTTGAAATTTCCAATTTGATTAGTATGCCATTAAAATGAATCTTAAATTTAATTATTCATTGCTTGTAGTTTTAAGCTATACTGGCACTTACTTTTTATATGAAACTCCTCCTGAATCTACATTTAATTCATCAGTATTATCAAAAATATCTGTATCTAGATCATCTCCCATTCTTAATAAACTCAAATTTCTCAAACTGGTCCCAAAATGATGTGTAAAAGGTCTGCAGGAAGGTAAAACGAAAACTAAATAGTGTTTGTGTATTTGGCTAATTTTGTGCCAAATAGCGAAATGAATTTCACGTGTGTCATGAGAATATTGGCGTAGCTGAAGGGAAGCATGCGTCACGGGAAAGTTAGACCCTGGTGACGGGAAGCTAGGTTATAATCGGCTAATTCAATACATCCTTACGTGTTTTCCTCAGACTGAAGGTGTTCAGCTCTACCTCATTTTACTTTTGTTTTCTAAGAGAGCATTATCAAATATTGGTGATTAAAAATCTTCAAAGAAACAAAAAAACAATCAACATAATTGAATAATTAACACCATAAAAGTGCTTTCTCAATTGGTTCTCTGTTAAGAAATCATAGCTCATTTTAAACATAGCCTATATTATTTTTCAAAGCATGTTGAGAATGAAAATATCCTGAGTTACACCATCTTCATTGGTTATTACTTTACACTAGATATACTCAAAATGCTTTAGTGGTTAAGATGCTAGCCTTTCAATCCCAGGGTCCTGGATTCAAACTCTGTCACTACAGGGTTTTTGCATGACAAAAAAAAACTATACTCCCTAAAATTTGATAAAGAGACAGTTTCTAAAAGCATAATTCTATCTTGGAATTGCCTAGTTAGGTACTTGCTGTTAGATGTGAAAAAATTTTTTTTTTAATAAATAAAGTATGAAATTTAAATATAGGTATTGAATTTATTTTCTAAGCGTTATTAGGTCAACACACACACACTATCTTTACAAGTACTACTGTATTTAACCACTTTGATGACTGAATTAACCACAGTGAAGTTGAATTCAATTACAGCTAAATAATGGAATCCTACATCAAAAAAACATAAGCAACAATTATGTTTATTCCCTTAATAGGAATTTGAAAATGGGAATGCAATCATGAAGTTGAGGCAAACAGTATGGCACTTTTTAAAATCTATATTTCTGTGTGTATTGATTACCAGAAGAGAAAAACATCAAGATTTTCATATGCTGCATATGACACATCATTTACCACAGAAGTAGGTCGTCATAAAAAAAAAAAAAACTGATGAGAATGACGATGAGTCACAGTTAACAAAATATGAATAATTAGACATTGTTTAGGTTGTAATTTAATTATGTCAATGATCTATTTTTGCTTTCTATATCACAAAAATATACCTGAAATAATAGGTTGATATGGTAATTGGCAGTATATTATATTATTATGAGTAATCTATTAATTATCAAAATAAATGGTCATGAATAGAATTGTTTCTTTCGGATAATTATATGCTTATTCGCTGAGTGTTTGCTTGTGTCCTTAGGCAAAAAACTTTACCTATGATTGTTTCTCTCCACACAGGAGTAAAAGGGTACCTCGTAGGATGTTGTGGCACTGAATAATAATTGGCTATGCATATTATGTATGACAGCACATCTCGGTATACTTCCTAAGGAGCAGGGAAAAGTTACACTCTGTGTTGATTTGTGATCCAGTAACAGGGATAAAGTAACATACATAAGGCCCTATAAAAAATAATATTATTAGTATATCACCCTATCTAGCCTGGAAAAGTGATGAGGGAGGGAGGCTTTTTTCAAAATTTTTTATTTTGCTAAAACCAAATATCACCCTCAGATTGTATGCTGGGCATTGATATTCAAAGAAAACATTTTTGAGATAATACAAACAATATCTAAAATTATTTAATAAAATTTTTTTTTCTTTCTTTTTAATTTTTAATTTAATTTTTTCTTTCAAAATTTTTTTTTTTTCAGTACCACAGAAGACTATAGCCTCGTGCTGCTTGAGATGTATTAGTTCTTATTTTTGTATTAAAATAAAATATTCTTGACCTGACTCTGTGCACAACAAAGAGTCAGCGACCTTGTCAGCTATTGGCCTCGATCTCTAGGCTGTATATACTAAACTGACGAAGGTAATGGCACTTATGATACGTTTCAGTTCCTCCTTTCGTGGCAAATGCTCCATTGTTTATCGATCGTAAAAGTTGATTTGCCAAGAGCTTTTCTGATCGTGAATATTAATGGTAGTATAAATCCCTAACTGATGATTTGTGAAATTATGAGTTTACAAAAAGGGGTTAATCAGACTTGTCAAGGGTCTCACACCGGCTTGCTTGAGATTTCTACTGGATTTGCTTAAGATTGGGCATTTTTTGAAAATCATGCGCGAGATCACGAACCTTATGGAAAATACAGTCAAGCATTGATATAACATATACCTTTACAGTGAATACATTGATACAAAGTGTCACTCTGATATTCCCTTTAATTTTCTTCAGTTCCTGCTGAGGCGGCATCAAACACTGTGACAATCGCTACAGGAACGCTATCGCCGATAGTTGTGTTTCTACATGTTGTATGCTTTTTTTAGAAAATAGCGCATTAAAAAAATATAATTTGAAGAAGTTCTGGAATGCGTGAGAATATATAGGCCTCGTATATGAGGTCCAGCAAGATGCGTGAGACTTGACAAAGTCTGGTTAATAGATACACAGGAGGGAAACACCCAAAAAACATATTTTTTTAATATATTAAACATACAATTACAATAGAAAAATTATGTCAGGAATGGCACATCAAGTTATTTAAAGTTAGAACCAATCTATTTCCAATGTGGACCCTTTTTATTTTTGTTAAACTGCTAATTTGTTCCTTCTATACAATCTATATTTTAAATTTTAAAAAATGATAATGAAAATAAATGTTGAATATTGTATAAAAATTTTCATAAATGTCCATTATTATAATTGATGATATCTTACCATATATGTACAGTACTTCCAAGGTGATTTTTCCTCTAATTGTGTATTTTTTATGTTTTTGTGTTGTTTTGATGTTTTTTAGAATCTGTAGTGTACAAAAAGCAGTTTTCTAATGTAGTTTATAGCATACTGGACGAATAAAGCTTGTGGATTGCAGCGCATTTATTCATTCAAATCAAGAATTATGAAACTAGTATTAAAATTTATCTGATATAAAAACTACAGAAATCTAAAAATGGCAGCTCCATTTCGATATAAAAAAGTAATTATACAGTTCAAATCTGAATAAGAGGATTAACCGTTCATTATTACTGACCGTTTCTTTCTTTCATACAGGAAAAGAAAAGAATATCAGGAAGCAATCTATGGTGTGTTACCAGGACTTTCATTATCAAAGCAAATTGAACACAATTCGATCCTTGCTTCAACAACATAGTGAGCAACTTCAACTTCTATTTTTACTCCCAGACCCATGTTGCCGATTTCAAATGGGTCCAAAGTACAGTAAACTTGGCCATGATGTTTACAGTTACTATCACTATAACACATGTCGATTACATTATAAACACATATTTAACATACTACACACACTCCACATACAGTACCTGTCTAATTGAGCTGGTGTATTCTCATTTTTTTAAATTACAGTAATTTCCTTTAATATCATATAATGCACTATTTCCCTCTACTTTCTGTGTGGCAAAACTTTTTTCCTATTCTTTAGTCAGGCTATATTCTTGAAAGATCCTCTGTATGGGGAAAAAATTATGATACAATTTTGTTTTCTCATTAGCAAGAGAATTTTGCACAAAGCATTTAGGCAGGGTGAAGGAAGGATTCACCCCATCCCAAATGGGGCATTCAATGACCACTGGCCCTCAATCCAAAATGCCAAATTAGCTCGCTTAGCCCCTCCATCAGGACATCTACCTGGTACATTCTAGCAGCACCACTCCACTGAGAATTTAATTATAACATTTCATGTTCAATATAGATGGAATGAAATATTCAAATGCCTGCAAACATTAACAGACTGTGAGCAATCATGTCAATATTTATTCAAGAGCATTGAAGTTCAATGTAAATATCAATCCATTACAGTAAAAGACATGCAAATACTTATATGGAATGAGTAATGATATGTTTGCCTTTCAATCAATGAATAAATATCATTAGGTTTAATTCATGTAATAAAAAAAAACTTGCAGTTGAAGGGCACAGCAACATAAATGTTTAATTAAAAATTGGATGCTATAATTTTTGTTGCAATACATTTTGTTAAGGGGTAATGTTCACCAGAAAGGCCTACAGAGCTGTTCCACCGGAGCAATGCTAAATTTTCCAATTTCAATGTAACAGATTTAGATATATTTTATAGAAAAATAACATTCATTTCACCTCATTAAACATATTTTATTTTATTAATTTCTGCAAAACAAACAGGTACAAACAGCAAACATCTATGTATTGACGTAAAGTGGCAAATGGATGACTAATATCACCACAAGGCATGCCAGTCAACACTCAAAACAGACTGTAGATGCCTCATTGTACAATTAATAATTAGTTACTGTAGGAATTACGAATCCAAAAGACACAGGGAAAAGGGGGATTCCCCTTAGGGCCAATTTTAATAATCAAATTTGCAATTGCGATATTGAATACCAGGGAGGGGACAATTCTCTGTTTTTCCTTTTGCATTTGTCACTATAGTAATAACAATACCGATAACAATTCTGACTACTGAGAGTAATTGACATTGCAATATCTACCTATATAGAAGGAGTAAACATATAGCAGGTCTGATAATACTGATTAGAAAATGTATATTCAGTACAATAAATAAGAATGAATGAATGAGGTATACAATAGCCTAATCTACGGACACTAGGATATAAAACCCTTTTATCAAAATTACTTCTGAATTTATCTTCACAAATATTTATCAACCTACTATATAGGAAGTACACAGTACAATGTACAATATTGCAAAAGAATTTCTAAAGTGTACAAACACCGTACAGTACAAAAATAGATTTTACTAAAATATAAGACTTTTTAACCAAAAAAACAAAAAAAACAAAAACAAAAAAAAAAGCCAGCAAGACTAACTGATTATCATTGGACTTTGGGCCTACAGTATGTAGCCTATACTAATTACTATACAATATACAACTTTTCAAGTTAATGGGTCTATAAAATCATAATTTCTACCATCCTAAGCCATAAAATGTCTGCCCTTTGACTTCCTTCCAACAAAAGTTTAAATCTTAGGGCTCATATCAGAGACCCTAATTGCCCCCATGTTTTGGATAAACTACAGACTAGTTGAACCCCTATTGGAAATTCCTGGAGCCATGGAGCCAAGA